TTTGTTGGTGTAAATTTTTTTCTTTTCATTACTCTAACCCACTGTTCCAAGAGCTTTTCATTTTTCAGGGGAAATCTAAAGACAAAATCACATAATAAAACGACAAACCGATTTAGCAATCGACCGCAAATTACCCAAAAAACTGGACGTTTCCTCCTGGTTTAAACCGATTTGTACACCCAAATGCGGAACACGATGCCGGCATATTTCGCTTTTAATAAACCAACACTTTTTGGAACTATACTTTAATTCAAGTAATCATACACATTCACTCCCAATACACATGAAACAGTTCGCAACGTACATACATTTACAGGGTATTTTTGAAATAGATGGAAAGTTTTTTTAACGTAATTGGTCATGATGTAGAGAATTTATGCATCAAATATTGATCTAATAAAAATCCTTTAGTTTTTGAGATAAAATTGATTGAAAATCTGTTAAAATTTGCGTGTGCGCTACTGATTCCAAAAATGTTAAAGGTAAATTTGATCACTATAGTAATTTAAAGTAGGTAAAATTGTTGCTTGTTAACATGACAATACATTCATTAGCCCATCATTTTTTGACGTTTTTGCAATTTTTTGGAAGAACAAAATGAATTTTTCTAATTCTGAAATGACTGACATGGTTCTGATGTATGGACAAGCCTTAAGAAAGTCCTTGGAAGCTCGACGTTTATACCAAGAAGCATTTCCCGAACGAAGATTGCCAAATCATAAAACATTTGCTAACGTTGTGCAGCGTCTACGAGAAAATGGGAAATTTCAACCTCGTTTTAGTGATCGTGGTCGTGAAAGGACAGAACGGACACTTGATGCCGAAGAAGAAATTTTGAATGTCGTTGAAAACGATCCAGGTATAAGCAGTAGACGATTGTCTTACCGAGTGGGAGTTTCACCTTTTGTGGTGTGGAGAACTCTACATGAACAAGGCAACAATCATTGATTAGACGTGCGGAAACGTGTATACGAAATGGTGGTGGACATTTTGAAAACTTGCTCTAGTTGCATACGTTACGTTTTGTTTCATTTTATGGTTGATTAAATTATGATTTTGAAGTTTTAATTGTCAGTTCATTAATTATTGTCATTGTTTATTTGTTGCTAGCAATAAATTAATAGCAACAGTAGTTACACCTCGGCAGTTTTCAGTTACTAGGTTTCACATTTTTTCGTGAAACCATTATTTATCAGTGGAGGAATGAATGTTTGGATAGGGGTTAAATTTTCCTTTCAAAATTTTACTAAAACAACAAACGTTCATTTGACTTCTTAGGTTCCCTACATTCACCAGATTTTTTGTTTCCATGTATTTCAAAAACACGTTGTATTTAGCACTATTTTCCTAATATTGCTTATTTGAAAGCAGAAGTACACAGCAATAAAAGAGCGCAGATACCAGTATTTGAAACACTATTCAGTGCGCATGAGCACTACTTTCACAGAATCAGCGGCGTCGAGAACGAACTTCCTTTACTCTTTGGACCTGTTTTGTACGTTCTTATATGTACTAACGCCAGCACGTATAAACCCCAATAACAACACTAATGGTCCTGGTCATCCCTCCCGCTCGATGTACTTCTGGTTTCAAATAAGCTCTACCAAGCGATCATACATTGACAGCAATGTTTTGCCTTTCTGACAAATGGCGGCCACTCGACCTTGAAGCTTCACTTCTGCAGCGCAGGGTTAGGTAGTCGGGTATCTAGGTAACTTAATTTAACATCTATGATTTCTTTACTACCTGCAGCCGCTGAGGGTTCCGAAATAACCACTCGCTTTGAAAGCCGGCCCTGTTAAATGTGAGCAAGAAATGTTTAGAAGACGATTTATTGCCAACCGGTAAGCTTAGTGCGAACCACACAAAGGGGGTATTTATTTGCGGTCAACTACTTTTATGATGGTCATATAACCTTATACCTTTTGGACAAGTATAACCTGATTGCGATTTTTTTGTAAACCCTTCCATTGCTAAAATTTTTTAAGAGAACTGGAATAACGTGGCATCGTCGCAGGGGAATTTCAAAAATAAACTGTGGTTATTAAGCCTAAAAAAAAAGAGACCAATCAGAATATATAAAATCATATAAACTGTCCCATTTGAAAAAACTAAGTTGCGTGTTTTGGAGTTCTCGAGGAGGGGGCGTTTAGCGCGGTAAGTAGTATATCGAATTTAATTAATAAGATAATTAAATAGAGTGGAAATACTTTGAGAAGAACACACAAATAAAAGGACTTTCTATAGATGTAAAATCGTTCGGACATGATTACTTTGGAATTTACCATCAGCGGCGTTCGTTAACTTAACAGTGCTTCGTTTCTTTCTGCATCTAAACTAAACAAACATACAAAAATATATTTTTTAGAATGCCCCCATTTCAAAGCGCAAATGAAACATCAGTATTGCAAAAATGACCCTACTGTATAAAGATTCAGTTTATTGTTCTCATAATATTTTCACTGTAGTTTAATTCTGAACAAGTAAGTTTGTCGAAGACAATTAGATGACATTCATTACTGTAGATTTTGCACTTTTCTTGCAAATATTGAACACTTGTGTTTATTTTGCATATTTTTCTATATTTTTCAAAATTATGTCGATAATTATTTTATTGTTAGATTAATTTCGAACATTAGTTATATTTTTAAAATTGTATAGTAAGTAGTATTTTTTTAACAAATCCCCGCTAAGAACAGACTTATTTAGATAAAAGAATCTGATCCTTTTTTGCCGAAAACAGATCTACTAGTTAACGTCTAACGTATAGAGAATGCGCCTAAAATGTGTCTGTTTTTACATTCATAATTTTGATAAAACCATTAATTTTATATTTTTAAAAACAACAAAACTTTTAAAATTATACAATAATACAGTTCTAGATTAAGGAGAGAGAGTAAAAAAAATAGAAATAACATTTAAAAATATTTACGAAGTTGAACTTTTCTGCATAATGGTCCTTAAAATATAAATTTTTATTTCATTATAGTTTCGATTATTTTAATGTCTTTCGTGGGCGCAGAATAAGTTAGTACACTTTTTTCAAATTTATTATTAATAATCAAAAACAGTTAACTGTCTGTAGTTATCTAAATAATATCTAATATTTAATTATTATTTAAACTGTCATATAAATCTTATGTAAGATAAAAAAGGATTTAATAAAGAATGTTGCCACTATTTTATTGCCTCATATATTTGCTTTTTTTTTAATTTCCAAAACTTGGAGTACTAATAAAAGAGATTATTAGAAACAACTGGTTCCTAGGTTTGACATAGCAACAACACTGGACTCTATGCTTAATTCAATACAGTAGTCACTCATACAAAATAACAAAAATTAATTATTAATTGTTGCGGAGAATATTTCTGAAATCTATAAGACAACAACAGAGAAGACAATTTTAAGGACGAAATTTTCGATTTATTACAGCAATCACAAGCTTAAAATGTATGCCTCAGTACGTTATAAAAAAACTAGTCGTTAAATCACGATCGATCACTCTACGCCCTCATATTGTGTCAACATAAAAAAAATGTCACAACTACAACAACACAATTTACTATAATAAGATTTCTAATTCTTCCCTCTTTTGGCATTTTGGAATAGTGCTCCAAAAACACTGATTTCATCACTACATTGACAACGTCAACAAAACTTTTTGAAATTTTTATCAGATGACAACAAGAACGTAAATCTTGCAGAGAAATAACTTGCGATCAACAAAAAACGGCGTCAGATGGTCGATAATGAACGTTTTCTCGTTGGAAGCACGACCAAATAAAAATTTGGTCTGTGACGCTTTTGACAAGTCATAGGCTTTGATGTCCATGGTCAATACGGGCGTTTTTGTAGCACTAGTAACTTATGGCCAATTATTTTGAAAAACTGCGTTACTTATCTACTTTCAGGCGCAGACAGTGTTTGCGCAGAAAGGCAAAGTGAGAGTCTGAAACTTCAGGTTTGGAACTCTTATCTGTGTTGACAATTAAAACATAGAAATACATTTAACAAAATCAGCTAAGAGATAGCCTGCAATTAAAGTGCAAGTTACTACGTTGGGTTGAACAAATACTAGTAATAAAATCTTTGATCGCTGGTTTAAATATATTTTTGTTCAAAATCTGTGCAGTGATTATTTTTAACTAAAATGTTGACCATATGAAAAATGTAGTTTGATGTAAGTATTCAATAGTTCAAAAACCACGATCACCACCATAAGGTTCAGCCACATAAATTGAATATTAGTCAATAATGCTATTTTATTTATAACCCATAAAACTGGTCATTGTAAATAATAAATATATAAACAACGGTCATAACGGGTGTTTAGAAACTAGTTTCTTTTGGGCATAAATTTTGAGTATGTCTGAGTACATATCTCTTTGTGTATGCACTTTCTTTTCTTTATTCATTGGAAACCACCCACACAGTCACATGAAAATTTTTTGAATTTCGCAGGCATTAAATTTGCTTATGTTGACTTTAAATATTCGACTAAGTGTTAGGTTTATGACGAATATATCATGTAAATGACATCTTTGTAGATTTTTTTGTACAGGACGATTAATGATCTATGAAAGTTTTAACACAAAAATCTTCCCACAGTAACTATTACTCGCAAAAAAATCCCAGAATATTTTATTAAATGCGGGAAGGTTCTTTTAATCAACGAATTATCATTAAAGTCTTTTTTAGTGACAGCCAGACAAATCATGTTAAAATGATTAAATTCACTTGCACCAATTTTTTGTTTGATTATGCATAATTCCATTTAAAAACACCTGCACCCTCTTCCGTGCCTCCACACACGAAATATTAAAATCCTGCTTTCCCCTTTAAACACCACCAAATGACCACATCCACGATAAATCAAGGTACAAAAACCAACCAACACCCATTATAACGATTCCCCTGTTCCGCGCCTTAATAGAAATCATCAGAACTAATGTCCCGCTTTTTCCATTACCCTGCGCACCATTTACAAGAATTAACTAACCTTCTCCTGTTGCATCTGCTGCTTCATCAGTATAGTCTTTTTTTTATCCTTGCACCTCTTGTTCTGGAACCAAACCCTGATGACTCTGGGCGAAAGTCCCGTCATTTCGACCAGCTGCTCCTTCATCAAGGCATCGGGCCGAGGATTGGCTGCGTAACACGTCCTTAGCGTGTGCAACTGTTTCTCGTTCAGGACAGTGCGCACTCGCGTCGGCTTGCCGTCGCTACCGCCGCCGCCGCCGCCCCCGGAGCCTTTCCGGAGGCCGCCGCCGCCACCCTTGTGAGACCCGCTTTCCGAACCGGAATCTGCAACAGTGATGGAAAATAATCACATTTTAGTTGGTTCGATTCGATAATTTGTGTGAAAATTTTACTAAGCGTGGTTTTTACAGTCTATGAAATAATGAGTTTCCAACTGGAATTAATTTTCCGAGTTATGTAGAACATTAAAGGTCACGTTTAGGTGTTAGGCGATGAATATTGGGACAAAAAGGGAAAGGAACTTAAAAATATTTAAAAAATGTTAGGAAAGAATATAACATGTTAAAAGTAAAATAATGTGCTACAAGTTTTTAAAAATGGTCATTTGGGATTAATAAACCTAACGTTACACCTTAGTTGACCTCTATAAATGCCAAAATAATGAAAAATTGCACTCAAAATACAACTTTCAGTTTTAGTTTGCACTGTAGGTACGTTAATAAAAAATCAATTTGATAAATTCATTAAAACTCGTTTCTCATTTGAAAAAAACGTCGTATTATGATTAAGTTAATTGCATTCAAATGATGCAACTGAAGAACACCGGTTTAACAAAAATATTGCGTAAATATGCAAATGTAAACGCAAACGAATATAAACAACCTCTGAAAAACTAGTTCAATAAAATTTACGATATTGCGAATTGATATGCTTTATCTTAAGAACTGGATTACGGGTATATTATGCATTTTGTTAGCGACCACTTTTAAAAATTATTGCAATGTTCGGAAAAAGTCATGAGAAAATACAAAAGTCAATAGTTGCGTTTGCCGAAGTCTCGACCCATTTTTTCATTGTCAAACCCGTAAGTCAAGACCATTTGTTATTTTTCTGAAGATGTCGAAACCTGTGAGGTCCACGAACAAAAACACGGAACATTTGAAGTGTTTTAAAGGTCGCTTAAGTATATGTTTAGAAAGGTTTTATTTAGTTTAAAATCTCGAAGGTTGAGCATTTTTACTCCTTAAATATTTGCATTGGGTTTAACTTCAAAGGTTGACCGTCTATAGATTCTGGACCAATTCTCTCAGTTTAAACAAACCCCAAAGCAAGCTGCGGACACCGGAGTCACAAAACAAACAAAAGTGTCCGGTTTATTACACAATTATTACTGTCTTTATATTCGGTAGGTTCTCTGTGAACATTGCAGTTAATTCTTGGGATTAAGGTAAAGCCGGCCACTCATCTCCCATTCACAAAGAGTGACGCTTTAATCAGCTAATCTGCATTGACCAGTGTTTCACGCCTTGATAATCCCCGGACTCGGCTCCGGAATTACCGGACTTTGCTAATGGACGCCGTCCACTCTCACGTCTCTGAAGGCTTAACTTGCCGGACTAATATTACGAGGATTAAGAGGAACGTACGTGGATGCTGGGTACAAAGGGAATTCTTTATTTATATAAGGGTTACAATTTTGCAAACAGCAATACATATTTCCTGTTTTCCAAAAAAAACCTAGGCTTTGAGCAGTGCCGTATCATTTGCGTTCTGCCATGGGGGCGTTCTAAAAAATATATTTTCATAGGTTTTGCAGTTCTGAAAAGAACTACATCATATTCTGTCAGTTTGGCTGTTTACTTTCTGAAATGAGAGTTTTCTAAAAATTATATTTTCATGTATTCCGCAGTTCTGAAAAGAACCGATTTCGGTAGAGTACGAAAAATACTTATGAGTCACGAAAAGACGAAACGAAATACTGTTAGGTTAAACCACGGAGGAATCACAAAACGGAATGACGGACGTCGCTGATGGTACGACCAGAACAGTTTCCTCCCCCTAATTCCGCAAGTGGACCCGTCCGGACGCTTTACGTTTACTGGGACGTTTTATTGGTGTGTTCTTCCCAAAGTATTTCCACTCTACCTTTAACAAAAGAATTTCAGGTCATTAGAATGAGGTGGTAAAATTTTGATTTAATATGATTTATTAAAAACGTATTTTTGAAAATCCGTGTGTTTAATTAATTTAAATACTGGGTGGTTTTATTTTATTTAAAATAATACATAGTACCAAAATTTGTACTAAGGAAATTACAGGTAATTTTAAATTGTAAATATAGGTATATCGGTTTTTGTAATTAAGAGGACGTCTTTATTTAGTAACGTCAAATAGTGAGTTTTATTGTACAATAGAGTGTAATAAAAATAAAATATTTAATTTATTTGAGAATGTAATGAAGGACACTGAGTTTTGCAAGAACAAAACAAAAATAATTACAAGTGTTATTGGAAGAAGTGTTTACCGTTAATCATGTGAGTAATTTCAAGCGGTGTTTGTTTAAAAAACGACATAATAAAAAATTACTACAATTTTATGTAATTATCTTAACAGAAAATCGATGTTAGCCAATTATTTAATTGTTGATTATATCTTAGTTTGTATTGTAAATATTGTGCAGTTGAAAACAAAATTTACGTAATGAATGGGGGTTTATATTTTGTACTGCTAAACCAACACAGTAAGATTGACATTTGTCTGTCAACAGTGAACCTTTTGTATTTACTGTTCACCGTTTTCTCCGGGTTCCAGTTACTGTAGTTTTCAGATATCTTTAATATATTCCAAATGTATTAGATACAGATTTGCCATTAGGATTCAGATGTTTTTTTACCTTTTTGATTCAAAAAACCAATCCGAAATTTCGAAGATTGACATCTTAATGACGTTACTGGAGTTTTGACTTGGCGCCATCATGGTAAATTTTTTAGGTAGATTTACTCATTTATTCGCACGACATTTGAAGGTGTTTTTTATTGAAAAGATTTTATTTTTTGTTGTTTCTTAGTTTCATTGTCATTATTTGAATTAAAACGATTTTTATTTTATTTTCAGGTATACAATAAATTCAAATTTTTGTCTGCTGATTACGAATCTAGTTTTTTCAAAAGTATGTATTTATAACCAGAAAATCTTGAAATAAGCTAGTTACGCGAAATAAATCATTCTCATGTAAGCAAGGACATAAAATTCATCAGTCATGAACGCGTGTTATACTGTAGTGTAGTGTTTTGTTTAATTGATTTATTGTTGTCGGGATCTTGGGAAAATAAACTACCTTAGTTGACTACTTTTGTTTATTATTGTAAACGTCTTCAGGAGTTATATTATAAATATACTTAAGTACTTCTATTTGTTCAAGATCTCGAGAACAATAAGCCGATTAATATTACTTCTGCTTTTTTTTTTAGTATAAAGTGTGTTGAATTGTACAGTTGTACAAATCGGTTTTCTACTGTTGTTTTTGCTGTTTTCCACCTACTTAGGCTGAACCGAGAAGTTAGAAAATCTTCATCCTTTGTATTTTTGTTTTGTGTTAAATTTTATGTTTCAGGATGTTGTGATAAGCGCAATGAGTGATTAAAAAAATCTAAATATAAGCATATGATCAAAAATTACAACCTGATAAAAAGTCATTTTTGAATTACTCCAATTTTTATAAATACGAGTAATATAAACTACCGTGTGATTTTTAAAATTTCTGCTCTAGTTGCTCATGACGCTTACGTCAGCCGTTTCAGTTACACTGCAGACGTACGCGTCATGACCAACTTTTTTACATCATATAATGCTCAACATCGACTATATGCTAAAGAAAAGAATGTATTCACAAGATAAATACCGGGTGGCTATTAATGATTGTGATTTTTTTGTCAGGTTGGCAACATATTTAAAATTCTATGATGGCATTGCTCATTGTCAAAATTAAATTTAGGACATTATCTTCCCATCACGTTTGCACGGCAAGTTAATCGCGCTCCTGTCAAAGTTGACAAATGTGAACCGATATGTTAAGATTGCTGCCAATAATTCAGAACCGCCAACACATAAATTTCTTCGATCATTAATGCACCCGGTACCTGTTGGTTCTTATAAAAACATAATGATTATTATTATCTCTTAATAAAGGGTTCAATTATTATTAGTAGTTACGTCCTGGGGAAAGTCTACGCACATTGTCTTACAAACTCGTTGTCGGTTTATTTAAATTTTTATTAGGTATTTAAAAAGTGATCTGTGGTTATTTAGATATAAATTCTCTCGCCTCTGCAGTATATACCTAAGTAAAAAAAAGGGTGTGTATTGTATGAAATGTTGATGGGATCATCAGATCAGAGGAATTGTCTTAAGAGTTTTACCGTCTACACGACACTGCTAAAATAAATACAAAATTTCACAACAATTAGTCCAGTAGTTTAATTTGATGACGTTATCTCAAAATTTTGCATGGTAAATGCTATTTCAACTTTAATAAAATAACATACTTCAATGTGTGTGGTCTATGAAACCGCTTTGATTTTTTTACTTTGACATGCAGATTTTTGTAAAAAATCAGAATTGTGTAAAGTAAAACATTCTACAATTTAATTTATCAATTGCAAAAATCAAAATCCTTAAAACTTGATGACGTCATCTCAAAATTTTGCTGGATAACTTGTATCTAAAATGTGCAAAATGTTATGACAACTGGATTTATTTCATTGTACTTCAAGAACGAGAAAAATTCTTTCTTAACTAAGTTTAAACCTATTATTTACTAAGGAAGAGTATTGTACAAGGTCCATTCGGCGAATGCAACTTTTATGATTTTACGACGTTTTAGGATCTCCAGAGTACGAATAAATAGCTCGCCGACTGCTTAAGATATCGGTTAGTTTCATGTTTTCTCGACGTTTCATGATCTTTAAAGTATGAAAAATTAGAGTGATTATTTCCGAAACTACTGGACTGATTATGTGAAATTTTATATGTATATACTAGTTTTTCGCCCGCGGCTTCGCTCGGGTAGACGATTGGTTGTGTTGAAGAGCATTATTATCAAGTTTCAAGTAAAAATTTAAATTTACCCGCTAAAATAAGACCGATTTTGCGAATGGCATACACTTTTAGGAAAGAGAGGGTGGGTGGGCGTTGCTAGTAGCTGCTAAGATAAGACTGATTTTGGCAAATGAGATAACCCCAAAGAAAAGACAGGGCGGGTGGGCGGGGCTAGTACCTGTTAAGATAAAACTGACTTTGGCAAATGATACCCTTTAAGAAAAGAGAGGGCGGGTGGGTGGGGCTAGTACCTGTTAAGGTAAGACTGATTTTAGCAAATGACGTATACTTTAAGAAATTTAATTAAATTATTATAAGAAAAGACACTCCGAAGCACCTTTAAATTCTTTCCAAACAGGAGTACCTAAAACCTCAAGATTGTTTTAAATTTTTCAAAAAAAAAAACGGGGTCCCAAAATTAACCGAAAAACAGGTCAGGTCACAATTTTCCAAAAATAAAACAGCAAAGTCCCCAAAATTGTTTTAAATAATTTACAAAAAAATCTTCGTGATCTTCATGAGTAGTTAAACACTGCGGAACTCAAGACTTTTTCAGATTCGTAAAAGGTAAAGCACTAAAAGCTCAAAAGATTTTTTCAGGTTCATCCAGCAACAAAACACCAGATTCTTTTAAATTTATTCGAAAATAAAACACCAGGGGATCTAAAATTAATGGCGAAAATTTTAAACGTGAAACATTTTTAACTGGTTAGTTGATTTTTGCTGATTTGTACCTTCGTTGTATATCAGGCAAACATTGTTGTCAAATGGAATTTTATCAAATTATTTCAAAAACAACACAACCATGTCTTTGTATATTCTAACTAAAATGGTAATTAAACATGGTCATGGGCGAGAGAAATATTAACTAAAAGTTTTAAGAACCAATTTTAAAATCATTATAAAGTTTGTCCAAAATTATAATAATTTTATGGATTCCCAACGTTAATTCGTTTTACAGCCCAGGCGTCCATTCTATTGTACAGGTAAAGAGCCTGTCAAGGGAAAGCCGATGTTTTCTGTACCTTAGTGCACCCCGCTCTTCAGCTGTACAATAAAATTGACAACAGGGCTGTAAAACGAATTAACTTTGGGACTCCATAAAATTCTTATAATTCTAGACAGACTTTACCTCCACCAAAATGTGACAAGGAATTTTTTAGGAGTACTATTTTTCTCAGACTCACCAGTTGTTTGTTTCAAGAGCGTAGCGGAAAGTTAATCCGCCATTTTCCAGACACATACTAATCTATTTTTTTTTGTTAGTTCCCGAGCGTTAACTCTACTTTTACGTTTTCTCGACCTTTCATGACCCTTAGCCGTCTGTCTGTCTCTCTGTCTGTCTGCCGTCACGTATTTTTATTCAACAGATAATCTCGGAAATTACTGGACTGATTGTTATCAAATTTTGTATTTATATTAGGAATATCATGTATACAAAACTCACTTGACATACACCTTGTAAAACTTTTATGACTTAAGCGGCATAAGCCAAACCACCCTTATAATGGACCCGAACCGCAAAGATTATTACTGTCCATTGTTGCCATAATGGTGCTGTAAAATTTTACTAGGTATATGTGAACTGAGTCAAGTTAGGTATACAATAGCCAGTTTGACTTATAAAGGTGCTTTGACTTAAGCCGCTTAAGTCATAAAAGTTTTACAAGGTGTATGTCAAGTTTTGTATAGATGGTAAAACGCTAAGCAAAATTTGTCTAAATCATCCCCACCAATAATGTGATAACATCACTTCAAAATTGTACATAGTAAATGGGTTTTTTAAAATTGTATAAAATAACATAGTCCTAAACATGTAGTATATGACGCCGTGTTTAGTTTTTATTCGCAACGTCCAGATTTTTGGAAAAAAAAAATCAAAATTATAAAACATTTTGCAATTTAATAACGGAATATTTTGAAATCTTCCAGATGTTTTAAGGTTATGATAGTCATGGTAAATTTTTAATCAAAATGTGTTTACGTATCCCCTCCAAAAAATTGATGACGTCAGCCCAAAATTTTGCCAAATAAATCCTATCTAAAAAGTAGAAAATATTATGAGCCTGTACATGAGATTTATCGTTCCATTCATATTTTTTAGATTTGCTTATACAGGGTACTCAAAAAAATTAATGAATGCTTGAATTTGTTTTACGGATTTAATCAGGAACTACAAAATCGAATGCTTTGAAATTTTAAAGTTATCATAAGTATGGTAAATTTTTTATCAAAATGTATTGGCTCATCCTACTAAAAAATTGATGACGTCACCTCAAAATTTGGTTGAATAAATCCTATTTTAAATGTGCGAACTGTGATGAGTCAATACTTGTGATTTATCACTGCATTAATATTTTTTAGATTTGCTTATACAGGGTGTCTTAAAAAAGTTAATGACTGAGTCAATTTATTTTATTGTTCAAATCAAGAATTGCAAAACAGAATACTTTGAAATCTTGCAGACGTTTTGAAGTTATTGTAAGCATAACTTTTTAATAAAAATGTATCTGTTTATCAACCCCAAAAAATTGATTACCTACCTCATTTCAAAATTTTCAAAATCTAAAGTGTGCAAAATATGATCAGTCTTACTTGTAATTTATCACTGGATTTATATTTTTTAGATTTGCTTATACAGGGTAACTCAAAAAAATTAATAAAACAGTTAATTTATTTTTGTGAATAAATCAAGAATTGCAAAACTGAATGCTTTGAAATCTTGCAGACTTTTTAAAGTCATTGTAAGCATGGTAAATTGTTAATCAAAATAAATCTGTTTATTGCCCCCAAAAAATTGATGACGTTGTCTCAAAATTTTGGTGAATAAATTCCACTCAAAATGTGCAAAATATGATGAGTTTTTACTTGTGATTTATTATTGCATTCATATTTTTTATTGATCAAATTAAGAACGAGTCACCCCATTTTCTCGAAAATGTGAAAATACAAATGTCTTTATTTAATAACAATTGTAATAATGATATTCAGAACACTTTGTCGATTGTAGCTTACTACTAGTTTTGATCCTTTGTTTTGAGGAGGCGAACTCATTCAACTAATTTCTACGTGACATTCTTCCGATGTATACCTAAACATAAACACTTTCAAGTTGTTTTTCTTATCGAGGATAACCTAAGGACGTACAGTAATGAAGTCTGTCGGGCAATTTTCTCGATATTTCATAACCCCCAGACAAGGTCGTAGTTACGGGGACGCTCGGGGATGCTGAGCCTCCCCTAGATCTAGACAAGTTATAATTAACCAAATGTGAATTACAACATCTAAAATCAAAATAAAATGTAGTGGGTTTATTCAATAACCGGAAGTCAGAGCAATAAAAAAGTCTGGACCGTCGGCATTGTGATCCGGTTATTGCAATTCATAGGAAACATCTTTTAGTTTAGTTTTTGTTTCACTCTCTCGTCTACAGGTTGATAAGTGTTATCGCTATTTGTCTTAAATTACCAGTACCATAACTGATTTTCGGTTCAGTCTTCAGTCGCACCTCTGTTATTACATACGCCAGACGTGACTAAATGGTTTCGTTATTTTATTGATTATAAATTACATAATATTCAAGAATAACAATAATACAATACTTTTATTATTATATTACAATGCATCTATCCAAACTGATATATGCGTCCTTGTAAAAATGTGGATAACATCAACACAAAATTTTGTAATAGAAAATCTCACTTGTAACAAACGGTTAACACGTTTCTTTACCTTTACTCAGACATTAGATACATATTTTTATTTTAGCTTATAATGGTACCATAAAAAACAATAAAAGTCGCAAAATCAATTTTTTTAATTTTTCGAAAGAGTTGGATTTGGCAAGCGGTACTTTATGGGCGAGGGAAGTTCTGTTGAAGTAATGTTTGACCAATTTTTTCATATGTTTTAAGATGTAATTGGACCACACATTTTATTATGTTGCATAATTTTGTTCATGCCTTTAAAAAATGAACTATAGATTGTTTTTTAGGTGGTTCATATTCTACACTTTTAATTTATAAACAATATTTTGCCATTTCTTGTCCGTGGACCTCATTGTCTCTGACCTGACCTGACCTGATCTGACTTGACCTGGCCTACAAGTGTTATGTTTTCAATGATCTAATCGGCACGGGTCATTTTACAATCGTCAGTAATTCTTATCCCCTTTACAATTTTAGTCGATGCAAAAATAACGTTCTGACTTTAATTTTCATATTTTCTAGATCATTTAGGTTGCTAACCGTTCTGATGATGCTAACTTTGTCAGCAAAACGTCTTAGTAACTTTGTCAAACTTGGTGATTGCACCCCGAATTCCAAATAGTATTTGCCTCACCTGACATGCATCCCAGCTCCATCGAATTACTGCTATGATTGTTGTTGCTCAAACTCGTATTGTTGTTACTCTCCGCGGATGGTAGATGCGGAGGCGTCGGCACCGACGTCTTCTCCATATGGTCATGATCCTGCTTGCAATACAAATCGCCACCGTCCCTTAACGCGAACTCGTCCCCCGGTTTCAACGGCCGAGAACAAGCACAACAAATGAAACACTTTATGTGATAAATTTTGCTTTTTGCCCGCATCACGAAATCTTCTTTGCTAAACGCCGAACCGCACCTGTCACATTTCGTCCCGAACAACCTGGAAGAAAAACATACACGTGAGAAAATTGACCCAGTGTGTGTGTGGCTGAGTGACGCATGTAATTCGAGAGCGGGTTTGCTTAGGGGCGCCGAGACGCGGCCCATATGGGCCACCGGCGAACTGGGGCGATTGCCAAAATCACGTCCTGGTAAACATGGGATTTGTTGGCTGTCAAGAGGTGGAAAAGTTGTGACGGGAAAAACAAACCGGCGATGGTGGAGGTCTCGGAGGGTTTTTTCTTTTTCGGAGGTTAATTGTGATGGGGTTTAAAAATAGTTGGAAAGTGGTCTCGGTGGAAAACAATGGGAGGCTGCGAGGAGGATGGGTGGAGATTTACGAGGGAATGAATGCAGCGATTGTGGAAAGTTGTGGATCAGTTGAATTATAGGACGGAAGTGAGGAGTTTGCCAAATTTTTTTTGGTCTTACTTCTCATTTGTAAACGTTATTAGATTAGTCGAACGACTAATGGAACGACAAAACTGGAGAATAACAAAAATTGCTTTTCTGGTAAGGTTTGGACTTTATCTAAAGAGAACTGAGTTTTAACTGAAGAAGTTCTAGTTCTAAGTTTCAAGACCCTTTTTGGAAACTTACCTCACATAGTCCCTTTTGCAGTACGTTTTTCCGTCCCGAACGAAACACGTACAGTTTTCGTCCAGGAATTGATGACATTCCTGACATTTCAAACACGCTGCGTGCCACTCCAAGTCCGGTGCCACCCTTAGGATGTACTGGTCATGGATTTGCCCACCGCAACCCACACAGTAGCTGAGTTGTCGCGGTTTTTCTGTGAATCAAAAGAGTCTATTTTAAAGAAGATCGACAGGAAAAGGTTGGAGTTAATACAATATTGTTGTTGTAAGATGAGATAGGAAGAGGAAAGTCATCGTGTGATTCGTATGTGTAAGGACTACTTTTAGACGGTGTTCGTTACTGCTGCTTTAAACTTTGATTCTTTTATTAAAAATAGCACAAAAAAATGAAAATTATTTAGGTTTAATGATATTAAGAATAAGATTCGTAACGGCAATGAAAATTTTTATTGAAAACTAGTATTTTGTGACTTGACAACTCAGTTCAGTTAATTCACTTATGGTGAACTATTGCTCTGATTTTAAAGCACAGATTTATTTCTTGCTTTTTATTATATTTTCATAATGTTTGGATAAAATTTACTTTTTTTGTTACGATACATACAGTTGAGTGCAGTGATTAAATTGTCTTCTTAATTATTGTTAACTGTTATATATTTTTTTATTTAGAAAATGGCAACTATATTTTATAACTCTATTTAACTAATAATGTAAATGTTTGAAATAAAAGTTAAAATTACTGCAGATTTCAACATAAAAATGATACGAACGAACTATGGGGTCACAGATTTTGCAAAAATTTGGGCTTTCGGATCCAAGACTTCCGAAAAGCGATCCCAATTCTAATAAAATCTATAACATATAAGATTTTAAAAAAATTTAGGAAACTGGCACGTTACTAATCTGGAAAATTTTGAAATTAATTTTTAACAATGATTAATGGTAGAATATAACTTGTTGGATAATTAAAATATATTAGTAAAACTGTTGTTACCTACTGTATTTTTAAATAAAAAAAATTCATCTCCTTGTAATGTAAAGAAGAAAACGATAACAATAATAATTTTAAATAAAATAAACAATTTTGACATGATTCCAAAAAAAAAAAAATGGATTAACAAGCTTTTTCCTTTTAAATGATCTTGTCGGGATTTCAAAATTTCAAATTTTCAACGTTATACCGGAAACTTTACAATTTTGAATTTTCGATATTAAGGTCGGAGCTGCGATGTAAAAATCGAAAATTTTCAATAAAATCTTTGAAATTCTACAATTTCAGTGTCAATTTTAACGATTCTTGCTTAAAGCTCTAAGCTCGAGTTTATTTACATGTTGCTAAATCCCGAATTGGCAACATTAAGTAATTAGAAGGTTTTAATTATTATTGGAAGTTTTAATTTTTAAACGCAGAAATTTTTAAAGTTGGGTTGTTATTATCCTAAAAACTTAGAATTTCGTAACTTTAACGCCATTATAGAAGCCTTCAAATCTAAAATAAGCTTTAATAAGTGGCAGTTCTGATTTTTCAAAATTAGATTTTTTTTTCCTTTTTAAACGTAGAAACCCTGATCTTCAAAGCTGCGCGAATATTCTTTTAGAAGATTAAAATTTTGAAGCTTTAATACCATTATAGAAGCTTTCAAATCTCGAAATTAGTTTCAAGGAGCTCTAAACGTCGAATCTTCAATTAATTTGAAAGTTCGATTTTTAACAGTTCGGAGCTTTCATTTTTAAAACTAGAAATCTTGATTTTTAAGTTGCTTTATTATTGTTTCAGAAGCTTAAAATTTGAATCTTCAATTAATTTCAAAGTTCTTTTTTTTCATTTTCAAACGTAGAACATTGATTTTTAAAGCAACGCGAATATTCTTCTAGAAGCTTAAAGTTTTGAAGCTTTAACGCCAATACAGAAGCTTTCAAATCTTGGGATTAGTTTCAAAAAGCAGCTTTAAATGTCAAATAGATTTAAACAATTCGAAGCATTCATTTTTAAATCTAGAAATCTTGATTTTTAAAGCTGCTTTATTATTCTCCCAGAAGCTTAAAATTTCGAAACTCGATAAAATCTCAATTTTAATTTAAAAATAAGCTTTGATTTTTAAACGTCGAATCTTCGATTTATTTAAAAGTTCTTTTATTTTTCATTTTTAAGCGTAGAAACCTTGATCTTTAAAGCTGCGCGATTATTCTTCTAAAAGCTTACAATTTTGAAGCTTTAACGCCATTATTGAAGCTTTTAAATCTCGGGATTAGTTTCAAAAAGGAACTTGAAACGTCGAATCTTCAATTAATTTGAAAGTTCGATTGGAACAATTCGAAGCTTAAAATTTCGAAACATTAACGTTACTGTAGAAGCTTTCAAATCTCGATTTTAATTAAAAAAAACCTTTAATATGTGGCAGTTTTGATTTTTAAACGTTCAATCGTCGACTAATTTTAAAATTCGATTTTTTCCTTTTTAAACGCAGAAACCTTGATTTTCAAAGCTGCGCGAATATTCTTTTAGAAGCTTAAAATTTTGAAGCTTTAACGCCATTGTAGAAGCGTTCGAATCTGGGGATTAGTTTCAAAAAGGAGCTTTACACGTAGAATCTTCAATTAGTTCGAAAGTTCGATTTAAACAATTCGACGCTTTCATTTTAAAACTAGAAATTTTGATTTTTAAAGCTACTTTATTTTGTTTCAGAAGCTTAAAATTTGAATGTTCAATTAATTGCAAAGCTCGAGTTTATTTCCATGTTAAACGTAGAAACCTTGATTTTTAAAGCAACGCGAATATTCTTCTAGAAGCTTAAAGTTTTGAAGCTTTAACGCCAATACAGAAGCTTTCAAACCTTGTGGTTAGATTCAAAAATCAGTTTTAAATGTCAAATCTTCAATTAATTTGAAAGTTCGATTTAAACAACTCGAAGCTTTCATTTTTAAATCTAGAAATCTTGATTTTTAAATCTGCTTTATTATTCTCCCAGAAGCTTAAAATTTCGAAAATTTAAAGTCACTGTAGAAGCTAATATCTGGCAGCTTTGATTTTTAAATGTCGAATCTTCGATTTATTTAAAGGTTCAATTTTTTCTATTTTTAAGCGTAGAAACCTTAATTTTTAAAATTGCGCTAATATTCTTCTAGAAGCTTAAAATTTTGAAGCTTTAATGTCATTATAGAAGCTTTCAAACCTCGGGATTAGTTTCAAAAAGGAGCTTTAAACTTCGAATCTTCAATTAATTTAAAAATTGGATTAAAACAATTCGAAGCTTTGATTATTAAATCTAAAAAAAAAAATATTTTTAAATGTTCTTTATTATTGTTCCAGAAGATTTCAAATGTCGATTTTTGTTTAAAAATAAGCTTTAAATGTAGTAGCTTTGATTATGTGAATGTTCGATATTTTTTTCATTTTCAATCGTAGAAACCTTGATTTTTAAAACTGGTCGAATATTCTTCTAGAAGCTTAAAATTTTGAAGCTTTAGCGCCATTATAGAAGCTTTCAAATCTCGGGATTAGTTTCAAAAAAGAGCTTTAAACGTCGAATATTCAATTAATTTAAAAATTCGACTGAAACAATTCGAAGCTTTCATTATTAAATCTAGAAATTTTTGTTTTTAAGGTGCTTTATTATTGTTCCAGAAGCTTAAAATTTTGAAACTTTAACGTCACTGCAGAAGCTTTCAAATCTCGATTTTAATTTAAAAATATGCTTTGATATGTGTGATTTTTTTATTTTTTTAAACGTCGAAAGCTGCGCGAATATTCTTTTAGAAACTCAAAATTTTGAAGCTCTAACGCCATTATGGAAGCTTTCAGATCTTGAGATTAGTTTCAAAGAGGAGCTTAAACGTCGAATCCTCAATTAATTTGAAAGTTCAATTTAAACATTTCGAAGCTTTAATTTTTAAATCTAGAAATCTTGATTTTTAAAGCTGCTTTATTATTATTCCAGGAGCTTAAATTTTTTTTAATAAAAAATACAAGTTGTTTTAATGATTACTGTTGTAGATAACTTGTTGTTGAGTGATTAAAATATGTTGGTAAACTACAAGGTGATTCCTTCAAACTTTACAACAAATATAGATTTTTAAAGGAAATGCATCTCTTTTGGCAAAAAAGACTAAATTTAAATAAAATAAACAATTCTGACTTTTGATTCTAAAAAAAAAAATAATTTTTACTTCCTGAGCGTAAGCTAAGAAAGTAGATATTGTATTAAGGTCCATCTGTCGAAAGGGTACTTTCATGTTTTCTTGAGGCTTCATGACCCCGAGATTACGAAAAAGTAGGTCTTCAGTTCCGAATGTCATCTGTGTTGATTTGATTTAGATAGATAATCTCCGAAACTACCGGACGATTGTTGCCAAATAAATCATCCTCAGCAACAGTTTAATGACATCACCCCAAAATTTTGCGCAGTAAATACTGTTTAAATTTTATAAAATATCATATAACTTATTCCAAAATAAAAAATCCATAACCTGTTGATATCAGTTCAAAAAAAGCTGATTATATATTTTAATTATTCTAAGATTCTTGTCACGGGTTGTCAATTTGAGTTTAGAATCTGAAAGAAACTCTCAATGAAAATGAAATCAAAGATAACCTTAAATTATTCCATACTAGAATAAATCATTAAAACTGACACTGATTTTGGAATAACATAATTCCTGTAGGTATTTGTGGTTTATGAATCCGCTTCGATTTTTATCGCAATTAGGAAGTAAAAAATATAGAAAACAATTGTTTGCGCCATAAATCTCTCTGCAGAAATTGTTGAACTATTTTTACTTTTCTCTTGCAATAGGAGGTAAAAACTGGATATAAAATTCAGAGTCGTATCTTCAAAAATAAAAAGCGGTAAATTTTTTAGACATGTATTTAAAAAAGCTATTAGTCAGAAGAATTTTTTGTTGTAATGAATCTACATATAAGCTTAATTTATAAACAGGATACTCGTAAAATAAAAACTACAAGAATTCAGAAAAATCATGTTTTATAAAGAAGTGCTAATATTTGATTTTTAAATGCAAGTAGCTTATTTAGTTGTCTATTTATTTATAAAACTTGTATACATTTATTTTGATAATTCTAGGATAAATATTCAGTAGTATTCATGAAAATCTATATTATACTTTTCAAAAATTTAGGTACAATATTTTAAGAATGTTTAAAAGTGAAAAAAGAGAAAATGCTCGTGGTTAGACT